GCTGGTAGAGCACGGCGCTTGTAACCGCAAAGGTAGTGGGTCGATCCACGGGACCACCCATAACACAAAAAATGTATGCCCACGGCATGAACTGTAAGCGCTTGGATAAAAGCGTCTGGCTAAATGGACATATTAATTATTATAGGAAAAAAGAGTGTAGAACAACCAATGACAGAGAGGATGATAAAAAAGTGTTGGTAGAACCCCAACGGACAGAGGAGAGAGAGTGTAGAAACATCCCGAAGACAGAGCGAGAGGTGTAGAACACCCAATGACAGAGGAGAAAGAGTGTAGAACACCAATGACAGGGAGAGTGAGAAAGAGTGTAGAACACCAATAGGACAGAGGAGAAGAAGACGAGGAGGAGAAAGAGTGTAGAACACCCAATGACAGAGGGAAAAAACGAGTGTAGAACACCCAAGGACAGGGAGGAGAGAGGTAGAACAACCCAATGACAGAGGGAAGGAAAAATAGTGTAGAAACACCCCAATGAAGAGGAAAACAAAGGTGAACACCCAAATGACAGAGGAGAGGGAGAGAGTGTAGAACACCCAATTGCCACAGAGGAGAAAAAGTGTAGAACACCCAATAATGACAGAGGAGAAAGCCGTGTTAGAACACCCAAGACAGCCCCCCACCCCCCGAGGAGGGATAGAGTAGATGTAGAACACCCAATGACAGAGGAGAGAGAATGTAGACCACCCAATGACAGAGTAAAAAGATTGTAGAACACCCAATGACAGAGGAAAAAAGTGTAGAACACCCAATGACAGAGGAGAGAGAGTGTAGAAACACCCAATGACAAGAGGAAGAAAAAATAGTGTTAGAAAACCCAGCACCAATGACAAGGAGAGGGGAGTGTTTAGAACACCCAATGACAGAGTTAACAAGAGTGTAGTAGAAACACCCAATGACAGAGGAGGGAAAAAAGTTGTAGAACACCTCAATGACAGAGGAGAGAGAGTGTAGAACACCGAATGACAGAGAGAAAGGTTGTAGAAGACCCAATGACAGAGGAAGAGAGGGAGAGTTGTAGAACACCAAGGACATAGGAGAAAGAGTGAGAAACAAAGGAATGACGAGGAGAGAAAGAGTGTAGAACACCCAATTGAAAGAGGAGAGAGAGTGTTATTATAACAACGAATGACAGAGGAGAGGGAGGTGTAGAACACCCAATGACGGAGGAGAGAGAGTGTAGAACACCCAATGGCAGAGGAGAGGTGTGTTGTAGAAAACCCAAAATGACAGAGGAAAGAGAGTGTAGAAACACCAATTGAAGAGGGGGATAAAGAGTGTTTAGAACACCCAATGCAGAGGAGGGAGGGAGGTGAACACCCAAAATGACAGAGGAAGAGAGAGTGTAGAGAACACCCAAGGACAGAGGAGAGAGAAGGTTGTAGAAAACACCCAATGGAAAGAGGAGACGAGAGTGTAGAACACCCAATGACAGAGGAGAGTAGAGGTAGAACACCAAAATGACAGAGGAGAAGCGTGTAGAACACCCAATGACCAGAGGAGAGAGGGGAGAGAGAGAGGGTTAGTAGAACACCCCAATGACAAGAGGGAAAAAAAGGAAAAGAGTGTAGAACACCCAATGACAGAGGAGAGAGAGTGTAGAACACCCAATGACAGAGGAGAAAGCGTGTAGAACACCCAATGACAGAGGAGAAAGAATGTAGAACACACCAATGACAGAGGAGAGAGAGTGAAGAACACCCAATGACAGAGGAGAGAGAGTGTAGAACACCCAATGGCAGAGGAGAGGGAGTGCAGAACACCCAATGACAGAGGAAAGAGAGTGTAGAACACCCAATGCCAGAGGAAAAATTGTGTAGTAGAACACCCAATGACAGAGGAAAAAAAGTGTAGAACACCCAATGACAGAGGAGAAAGAATGTAGAACACCCAATGACAGAGGAGAGGGAGTGTAGAAAACCCAATGACAGAGGAGAGAGAGTGTAGAACACCCAATGGCAGAGGAGAAAAAGTGTAGAACACCCAATGGCAGAGGAGAAGGTGTGTAGAAAACCCAATGACAGAGGAGAGTGTGTAGAACACCAATTGAAAGAGGATAAAGAGTGTAGAACACCCAATAGCAGAGGAGAGGGAGTGTAGAACACCGAATGACAGAGGAGAGAGATTAAGAACACCCAATGACAGAGGAGAGAGAGTGTAGAATACCAATGACAGAGGAGGAGGTGTAGAAAACACCCAAATTCGACAGAGGAGAAGAGAGAGTGTTAGAACACCCAAATGACAGAGGAGGAAAGAGTGTAGAAACACCCAATGACAGAGGAGAAAGAGTGTAGAAACACCAATGACAGAGGAGAGGGAGTGTAGATACACCCAAATGGCAGAGGAGAGGGAGTGTAGAACACCCAATGACAGAGGAGAGGAGGAGTGTAGAACACCCCAATACAGAGGAGAAGAGTTGTAGAACACCCAATGACAGAGGAGAGGGAGAGCATCGCCACCCAATGACAGAGGTAGAGGGGGGAATATCACAAATGGAAGAGGAGAAGGAGGAAAAACACCAATGACAGAGGAGGGGAGAGGGCGAGAGAGAGAGCTGTGACCCAATGAAGTGGAGGAGAGAAGGGGGAGAGCACCCATGACAGAGGAAAGGGATGGCTGAACACCCAATGACAGAGGAGAGAGAGGGTATAGCACCCAATGACAGAGGAGAGGGAGGGCTGAGGACCCAATGCTAGAGTAGTTCATGTTGATCTATCCACTGAGTGTACAAAACATTAGGACCACCTGCTCTTTCCATGACAGTTAATTCACCAGTCATCAGATATCAATCCAATTGATCATCTGTGGGATTAAAATGGGAACGAGCTAGTTGGAGTAGAGTTCCACTACCAGCCAACTTGACACAACTGGGGAATCATTGGTGTCGACTGGGCCAGCATCCCTGTGGAACAATTTAGACACCTTGTAGATTTAATGCACTGACAAATTGAGGCTGTTCTGAGGGCAACTGAATATTAGGAAGGTGTTCCTAATGTTTTGTACACTCAGTGTATATATTTTTACCATGGCAGCCCAATAATTACCTGAATAACATTCAAATATAGACAACTAAAAACATTCTAGGAACCCCCAATGTAAAACCTGAGGAATTTGTCTTAAAAAACAAATTTTCAGAGAGTGAGAGCTGAGACCAGGGCCTCTGGGTTCCTGCCTGTCTCTGTGGTTTATCTCTAGTCCTGTTCCAGTCAAGTGGCTTTACCTGGGAGTGTCACTCTCAATTCAGGCCTCACTCACCTGAACAATACTTAAAACCACACAACCCTTAGTTTTTAGACGTGAGGAGGTAGGTCCTTTTCAGTACATTGAGGCCATTTCTGGGCAATATGTCTGTCTAGAGGACTGGGTTATCTCCTATGGATCAGCAGCACCATCACATGCAAATGTTCTGTATAGCCTCTCTAACTGTTTCCTTCTCTGGTTCTGTCCAACCCCTTTTCCAGTGGGATGAATGTCACGTGCACAGTTGTTTTTGTTGATAAATAACACATTCAAGGAAATTAGGAACAGTGTAAGGTTTATAGGTTAAATCTGGAGAGACGGAGCGAGAGAGAACGAAAGACAGAGTTACCTTCAAATAACAGGTGAGGCCATTTTGGATTGTATAATCATGTTGAATATCTAGCAATTTTATTGTAGAGAAGTGTATTTATAGTTTTTTCCCCAATATTTTTTCAGATGTAAGTGGTACATTTCCAAAACTCTTGGAACACAAACTCTAATTGTGTAATATCCTCTGTCTTATGTTCAAAACCTTTAACTGTGTTTTCATTGTGTTTAAAGTCAGGCAGTGTGTGACCATAGGAATCATGTTGCAGTTTGGAAGGTTCCAGTGTAGAATAATCAACCATGTGTTCTTACCCTTGTTGGCCCTCTGAAAATGTTATGTTGAGGTTTTTCACCCCAACCCTCTTCCAATACTTTAAAAACCTGACCTAACAATCAGTGATTGTTCGTGTCTCTGAACAGGTGATAATGTGGGGAGCACTATCTTGACCTGTCCTATCACGTCATATTAGTAAAGAAGGAGAAAGACAGTTTGCATTTATAAAGTTTTGTGAAAGTCTGTGTACAGTATACATTTTAATCATATAACCTTTGAATTTCACAGAGATGGAACCATTTTTGTATCTCACCCTGCTAATCTCAGGTCAGTTTAGTATGTGTGTGTGTGTGTGTGTGTGTGTGTGTCCCAGCAAACATACCCACTTTGGGCCGAAGAGTCCTTGTTAATCGGCTCCCTACTGGCCCCCAAGACATTGGCCCAGCGTGGCCCAGCGTGAATCAATTGTAACATTTACGAGCCCTAAATTCTGTTAGGTGTTTTCACATATGGTCCTCTTTTAAATAACGGATCTCAGTCCTCTTTAAAGTGAACTGGGGTAAAAAAAAGAGCTAAATAACTCAGTTCTCTTTGTATTCACCACTGCCCTTGCCTTTGAATGAGGACTCAACTCTTTTGCTAGTTCACTTCACCTATTTTGTGGAGTGAGTGCTCTTTGCATTCACACGTCTACGTTTAGAAAGAAACCAAGATCTTTTTCCAACATTCACTCAGTGCGCTCTGGGTTTTTACAAAGTGCAGGATAAGCCATTCAATCAGAATGTGTTATCGGACAGCTAGATATACCTACTTACATTTTACACAGCCTGTGTTGGGTTGGTGTGGGCTAACCTGTGTCGGGTTGGTGTGGGCTAGCCTGTGTTGGGTTGGTGTGGGCTAGCCTGTGTTGGGCTTGCTGTGTGCCCACCTTGCCCACTGAATACCCACGCAGGGCAAATGCGTTCATGTATGCTGGGTGTGTGTTTGTTTATGGATGTAGGTATGTGTGTGTTTATGGATGTAGTTGGTGTGTTGTGTTTGCACACCAGGGTGTACTGTATGTTCACAGATCCATAGAAAGTGTGGTTGGGGTTGAGAAGTTGCCAGAGAATATGTCCCTCATGAATCATTATTCTGTTCACAGGCTTCTACACACCTTCCTCATGTCTTCATCAATTTCACCCCATTACCAACTATATGAACTGGACTGACGCCCAGAGTTACTGCAGAGCACAGTACACTGACCTGGCCACAGTAGATGACATGGTGGACCTGAACAGGCTGATTACTACTGTCAATTATTATGATGACTGGCATTGGATTGGACTGAATAAAGGAGACTCCATGAAGTGGCAGTGGTCTCTGGCAGACAGACGTTTCTACAGAGAGGGACAGACTGAGTTCAGAAACTGGGACACTGGGACGCCCCAAAATGGCAACTGTGCTTTTATGAGTACAGCTGGGTTGTGGAACAACACCTCCTGTGATGACCAGCATCACTTCATCTGTTATGATGGTGAGTGTTTACATACTAACGATGAAGCCTGTTCTAAGTGCCAGGGCTGTCATTGAGTTGAAACATAGACTCATGATGGCTTTAAGTTGTTAATCAGTTATTTATCTGTTATCACATCAATGAGAACATGTACTATAGATGATCAGTAGATTATATTTCATTGGATTTTTGTATTGGTTATTACATTTGACTTTTACAGGAAAACAAGACACCAACCTAACATACGTCTTAATTCAGGAGAACAAGACCTGGATATATGCTCAGAGTTACTGCAGACAGTATCACACAGACCTGGTTAGTGTGAGGAACCAGAAAGAGAACACAGAGATAGAGCAGAAGATATCACTGAGGGGACTGCCTGTGTGGATCGGCCTGTTTCAAGACTCCTGGAGATGGTCTGACCAGAGTAACTCCTCATTCAGGAACTGGCATCAACGAAGGTCTTCAATAGATCAGAGTTTAAATGAATTCAACTGCACTCTGGTGGATTTATATCCTTATTATTATTATTATACTAAATGGATAAATCATCCCTGTGACCTCTCCTATCCTTTCATCTGCTATGGTAAGTTACCATATTCTCCACCTGATCTACCTGATATTATGATGACAGGAGAACTCTAGTGTTGCCCCCATGATTCACTACTGTCACTGTGAGATTGTATTCTCTTCTAGGCCCAGCTGTGGAGACCCCTGAGAAACCTCAACTGAATAGACAGGTGGTGAGGAGTGAGATGAACCCCCAAAGGATCCAAATCTGAACCTCAGCGATCCTGCTGTTCAGGATGACATCTTACAAGAGGTGAGTTTCACCCTGCTCATTAAGAACCAACTCAATAGTGATACAAACTGTTTAGACCTCCTCTCCTGGTCTGGGTCCTAGTCTGTTGTGGATGACCTCCTCTCTGGTCTGGGTCCTAGTCCTGTTGTGGATGACCTCCTCCCTGGTCCTGGGTCCTAGTCTGTTGTAGATGACCTCCTCTCTGGTCTGGGTCCTAGTCTGTTGTGGATGACCTCCTCTCTGGTCTGGGTCCTAGTCTGTTGTGGATGACCTCCTCTCTGGCCTGGGTCCTAGTCTGTTGTGGATGACCTGCTCTCTGGTCTGGGTCCTAGTCTGTTGTGGATGACCTCCTCTCTGGTCTGGGTCCTTGTCTGTTGTGGATGACCTCCTCTCTGGTCTGGGTCCTAGTCTGTTGTGGATGACCTCCTCTCTGGCCGTGACCCCACTCTCTGTGGGTGTTTCAGGGAGAATGGATTGTGCAAAAAACACATTTCCATGTCACACATGCATATTAAAAGACACGTGTACATGTGTTAAATAGGACAAATATAAGCATCATCTCCCCATAGAGTCAAAGGGTTGAAGTCAAGAACGTGTTAGTATAGCAGGAAGGAATGGTAGTTGTAGATCTTCAGAATGACTATTACATAATAATATAGTCTCTATCTGTTTGTCGTCTGTCTGTGTGTGTGTGTGTGTGTTGGGTGTGTGTGTGTTGTGTCTCTGAGTGTGTGTGTTGTGTTTGGTGTGTGTGTGTGTGTGTGTCTCTCTGTGTGTTTGTGTGTGTGTGTGTTTGTGTGGTGTGTGTGAACTGTGTGATGTGTGTGTGTGTGATGGTGTGGTGTGTAGTGCTGTGTGTAGTGTGTGTGTGTGTCAACCTGTCGCCGATGTCTGCTCGTGTTTTCCTTGCTCACTCACACAGAATATGACCGTCGAACCTTCCGTCCCACAGCTGAAGGAGTCAGGGTTTACCTGGCGACACCAAACTGACATGTAAAAAGCAAGCCCAGGCCCACGATGGAAGGTCTTCAACAGTAGAAGAGGGGTCTCCCCCCAGAAAGAAGAGGATGAGGAGAAAAGAAAAAAAAATGAAGAAGAGGAAGAAGAGGATGATGACAAAGAGAGAACTCTAATATACCAAATTTTCTCCTTTATAAAAATCCTAATTTTCTCCTTACATGTTCTCTTTTCATTTTACTTATTATCTGTAACTTTTTACTCGGGGTCCTAGAATTTCTCAGATCAACTAAAACAGGCACAAAATAAAACAAGGTCTTTTCTTAGATAACAAACCAATAGGGTTAAGGCAACGCATCAAAAACCGACACACACACCAAACGAAACATGAAATTGCCAATGAATAAAATTCGACGAATCCAGATATGTGTTTTTGACAACCATGCGATCTGCGTACCCGTGGGATGGTGTAAATATTCATGAACTTTCGCCGAAGAGGTTTCCGCGGTCCCACTCTTCAAAGGACCGATAGCAGAACGAGACGAGCGGTAGCTAGTCTCGCGTAATCCGCCTCGCGGCGGACCTTCTTGTTTAATGCCATTATACATACACACAAGTAAGATTGGGATATAGTGTTAAAGAGGAAAAACACCGGCCCGCCCCCCCCGCGACTTGCCCCCGCATGCGCACCGTTGACGGAGAATTTGGGTGATCATTTCTCGGGTTCTGGGAGAAATGTAACCACTTCTGTCCCCGACTTAACCACACTATCTCAAATGTAAACATAGCTATAAGAGCTAATGGAATTGCAATGTCGGACTTGTTGCCCTTCTACCAGTTTTTCCCCCCCCTTACCTTCGCCCCTTCCCCCCTTTGTTGGCGGGTTCGTGGTTACTTTCCCCTTGCACTTGTTTACCCCCCCCTTTGAGCGCCCCCCCTCCGCTTATATATGGAGTTCTGATGGAGTACGACAGTTGACTGAGCTCCCGATGCATTTATAAGTTACATCCTTCAAGAATCAATGGAACATTCATTTAAAAGTGAACAAAATGTATGTAGCAATCGCAGATTGCCCCTTGTAACATTATAACATTTTTTGAATGTCTTTCTTAGATATATTCCACGTAGTGGGTTTATGTTCATATATTTTCTCAACTTTATTGAAACAGCTCTTAATATTGTTTTTGTTTATCATATATTAATATTGTTTTATCATATATTAATATTGTTTTATCAAATACTAATATTGTTTTATCATATATTAATATTGTTTTATCATATATTAATATTGTTTTATCAAATACTAATATTGTTTTATCATATTCATATTGTTTTATCATGTATACATATTGTTTTTATCATGTATTAATATTGTTTCATAATGTATAATATTGTTTTATAATGCATGAATATGTTTTATCATAGGATGTGATCTTAAGTTCCAAATCTTAACATCATTCATTGTTTGAATCTCTTTTGTTTGTTTATATATTAGAAATAGTTTTTCTAAAACTGTAAACGTGATGGCACATCTGGAATGTTAACAAAATAAAATGATGTGTGATAGTGAGATGCTATTTTTCCTCAATCATTATAGACAGTATTCAGACTTGAGATCCGCTCACTGGAATTTTCTGTGCATTGACATCAATGAATGAAAGTCCCAGTTGCAAGCACAGATCTCACGTCAGATTACAATCCTAATGGCTCTGTCTTTCTTTACTCGAATGTTCATTTAGATTTCAATAAATAATCACTCATTTATCAACAAGGTTTTACAATTAATTTGATTTTTTCTGACAAAATAAAAGATTGTTGAAAATGTAAAATTGGAAAAGCTTGCAATTTTTATTTTTGCCAATTTAATTTGTTTACATTTATTGAAAGCATTAACTTCCCCTCAATGTACTCTGTACATTTCTTGACGCTTGGACAAAGAACATTTATAAAAAAATAGCTTCTGAAGTTTCATAATTGTATGTTCGTTAATGGAAAAAATATGGCAATTTCCTGAAAAGTTGTGTTTCATCAGACAGCAACGATATGTTTGTAAGCCATCATGACTCATCACAACCACTAAACAGGTGTCAGTTTAACCATTACCTGCTGACCAGTGGTTTCCATTTGGAGAAGAGGGAAGGAACAAGGGGAGGAACAAACTCCTAATTTTACATTTTAGTCATTTTAGCAGACGCTCTTATCCAGAGCAAGTAGGGTTAAGTGCCTTGCTCAAGGGCACATTGACAGATTTTTCACCTAGTCGGCTCGGGGATTAGCAGCAGCGACCTTTCGGTTACTGGCACAACGCTCTTAACCACTAAGCTACCTGCAGACCTAATGACAGAGGAGAGAGAGGGCAGAACATCCAATGACAGAGGAGAGGGAGGGCAGAACATCCAATGACAGAGGAGAGAGAGGGCAGAACATCCAATGACAGCGGAGAGGGAGGGCTGAGGACCCAATGCTAGAGTAGTTCATGTTGATCTATACACTGAGTTTACAAAACTTTAGGACCACCTGCTCTCTCCATGACAGTTAATTCACCAGATATCAATCAAATTAATATTAATATATCATAAAACAATATTAATACATGATAAAAAATATATATTATATATGATAAAACAATATAAATATATAATACAAAATGTTAATATATGATAAAATAATTAATGAATCTCAGATAAAGACCTGTTTCAGTTTATCTGAGAAAATCTAGACCAGTACAGATAATGAATGTAAATAAAAAGAGAAATGTCAGGAGAACATTTGATATAATTAGAGTTCTCTCTTTGTCATCATCCTCTTACTTTCCTCTTCTTTATCTTCTTCTCCTCCTCCTCTTCTTTCTTGGGAGACCCCTCTTTCTCCTTGTTGAAGACCTTCCCATCGGGCTGCTCTTTTTCCCATGTCAGTTTGGTGTCTGCAGGTAACCCCTGCTCCTTCCAGCTTTGTTCTTTATCTGGAGAAACACACACACACACACACACACAAATACACACACACACACAGACAGAAAGATAGAGACTATATTATTCTGTAATAGTCTTTCTGAAGATCTACAACTACCATTCCTTCCTGCTATACTGACACGTTCTATACTTCAATCCTTTGACTCTATGGGGAGATGCTACTTATATTTGTCCTATTTAACACATGTACACGTGTCTTTTAATATGCATGTGTGAATTGGAAATGTGTTTTTTGCACAATCCACTCTCCCTGAAACACCCACGCAGAGTGGTGTCACGGCCTTGAGAGAAGATCATCCACAACAGACTAGGACCCAGGCCAGAGAGGAGGTCATCCACAACAGACTAGAACCCAGACCAGAGAGGAGGTCATCCACAACAGACTAGGACCCAGACCAGAGAGGAGGTCATCCACAACAGACTAGGACCCAGACCAGGGAGGAGGTCATCCACAACAGACTAAGACCCAGACCAGAGGAGATGATCCACAACAGACTAGGACCCAGACCAGAGGAGATTATCCACAACAGACTAGGACCGAGACCAGAGAGGAGGTCATCCATAACAGACTAGGACCCAGACCAGGAGAAGAGGTCTGTAAGGTTTGTATCACTATTGAGTTTGTTCTTCATGAACAGGGTGAAACTCACCTCTTGTAAGATGGCGTCCTGAACAGCAGGATCGCTGAGGTTCAGATTTTGATCCTTTGGAGTCATCTTCACTCTCACCACCTGTCTTCTTCATTTTGGAGGTTTTTCAGGGGTCGGAGAGTCATTATTGGCGTTTGGCTCGGTGGTGGCGTCGTTGTTGGTGGATGTGGTCTGGGTGCAGGCGTTGTTGTGGATGAAGTCGGGGTGGCCAGTACGTTGTTGTGTGTGGTCGGGGTGGCCAGTAGTGGTGTGGGGTGTGTCGGAGGTGGTAGTCGTTGTTGTGATGGTCCGTGGTCGGGGTGGCAGTAGTGGTTTGTGGGTGTGGTCGGGGTGGCAGTCCGTTGTTGTTGGTGTGGTCGGGGGTGGCAGTCGTGTTTGGGTTTGTCTGGGTGGCAGTCTTGTTTGGATGTGTCGGGGTGGCAGTAGTGGTTGTGGGGGTGGTCGGGGTGGCAGTTCGTTGTTGTGGATGGTGGTCTGGGTCGGGTGGCAGTAGTGGTTTGTAGGTGTGGTCGGGGTGGCCCATTGTTGTGAAGTGTGTGTCGGGGTCGGTGGCGTATTGGTTGTGGGTGGTCGAGGTAGCATCGTGTCATTATTTGGTTGTGGGGTGTGGTCGGTGGGGAAGTGTGGTGTGGTGTGGTCGGGGTGGGTAGTCGTGGTTTTTAATTCGGTGGGGAAGTCGTGGTTGTGGGTGTGGTCGTTGGGAAAGTTCGTGTTGTGGGTGTGGTCGGTGGGGATGTGTTTCTTGTTTTGGGTGTGGTCGGTGGGGAGTCGTGGTTGTGGGTGTGGGTCTGTTGGGAATGTGGTTTTGGATGTGGTCGGTGGGGAAGTCGTAGGTTGTGGGTGAGGTCGGTGGGGAAGTCGGTGTGTGGGTGTGGTCGGTGGAATTCGTGGTTGTGGTGTGGTTCGGTGTGAATCGTGGTTTTTTGGGTGTGGGTACGGTGGGGAAGTCGTGGTTGTGGTGTGGTCGGTGGGGGAAGTCGTGGTTTTTGGTTGTGTCGGTGGGGAAGTCGTGGTTGTGGGTGTGGTCGGTGGGGAAGTCCTGGTTGGGGGTGTGGTCGGTGGGCGTTAGTTGTCGGTTTGGAAGTCGTGGTTGGGCGGTGTGGGTCGGTGGGGAAGTCGTGGTTGTGGGTGTGATCGGTGGGGAAGTCGTGGTGTGGGTGTGGTCGGTGGGGAAGTCGTGGGTTGGCGGTGTGGGTCGGTGGGGAAGTCGTGGTTGTGGGTGTGGTCGGTGGGGAGTCGTGGTTGTGGGTGTGGTCGGTGGGGAAGTCGTGGTTGTGGGGTGTGGTCGGTGGGGAGTCGTGGTTGTGGGGTGTTGGTCGGTGGGAAGTCGTGGTTGTGGGTGTGGTCGGTGGGTAAGTCGTTTGTTGTGGGTGTGGTCGGTGGGGAAGTCATGGTTGTGGATGTGGGCAGGGGGGGGCAGTTGTGGTCTCCACAGCTGGGCCTAGAAGAGAATAAAATATCACAAGTGACAGTAGTGAAATCATGGGGGGCAAACATTAGAGTTCTCCTGTCATCCTAATATCAGGTAGATCAGGTGGAGAATATGGTAACTTACTATAGCAGATGAAAGGAAAGGAGTAGGCACAGGGCTTATTTATTAATTTAGTTTGATCAGAATAAGGATATAAACGCAATAATGACTCTCCGACCCCTGAAAAACATCAACTGAAGAGACAGGTGGTGAGAGTGAAGATGACTCCAAAGGATCAAAATCTGAACCTCAGCGATCCTGCTGTTCAGGACGAAATCATACAAGAGGTGAGTTTCACCCTGCTCATTAAGAACCAACTCAATAGTGATACAAACCTTACAGACCTCTTCTCCTGGTCTGGGTCCAGTCTGTTGTGGATGACCTCCTCTCTGGTCTGGTCCTAGTCTGGTTGTGGATCATCTATCCTCTGGTCGGTCCTAGGTCCTGTTGTGGATCATCTCCTCTGGTCTGGGTCCTAGTCTGTTGTGGATGACCTCCTCTCTGGTCTGGGTCCTAGTCTGTTGTGGATGACCTCCTCTTTGGTCTGGGTCCTAGTCTGTTGTGGATGACCTCCTCTCTGGTCTGGGTCCTAGTCTGTTGTAGATACCCTTCTCTCCTGGCAGTGACCCCACTCTCCGAGGGTGTTTCAGGGAGAGTGGGATATTCAAAAAACACATTTCCAATTCATAATGACCATCGTTATGTTTGGAGGAAAAAGGGGGATGCTTGCAAGTCGAAGAACACCATCCCAACCGTGAAGCAAGGGGGTGGCATCATCATGTTGTGGGGGTGCTTTGCTGCAGGAGGGACTGGTGCACTTATCAAAATAGATGGCATCATGAGGAAGGAAAATTATGTGGATATATTGAAGCAACATCTCAAGACATCAGTCAGGAAGTTAAAACTTCGTCGCAAATTGGTCTTCCAAATGGACAATGACCCCAAGCATACTTCCAAAGTTGTGGCAAAATGTCTTAAGGACAACAAAGTCAAGGTATTGGAGTGGCCATCACAAAGCCCTGACCTCAATCCTATAGAAAATGTGTGGGCAGAACTGAAAAGCGTGTGCAAGCAAGGAGGCCTACAAACCTGACTCAGTTACACCAGCTCTGTCAGGAGGAATGGGCCAAAATTGACCCAACTTATTGTGGGAAGCTTGTGGAAGGCTACCCGAAACGTTTGACCCAAGTTAAACAATTTAAAGGCAATGCTACCAAATACTAATTGAGTGTATGTAAACTTCTGACCCACTGAAATAAATTATTCTTTCTACTATTATTCTGTTATTTCACATTCTTAAAATAAAGTGGTGATCCTTAACTGACCTAAGACAGGATGTTTTACTAGGATTAAATGGTCAGGAA